ATATTTTGTTGCACACTCAGGTCTTTCAATAATTTTTTTAAACAATTGCTCATTTGTCAGTAACATAAACAAAAAAAAAAAAAAAAAACTAAAATTATTAACATTATTGATTAAATTTATGCAGTATAAATAAGGAGCTTATTACATGCTTTTTAATTTTAATTAATAATAATAATAATATGTTTTACACATAATGCATTAATAATCTAGTCAGGAAAATAAAATAAAAAAAAAAAAAAATTTTTTTTTTTAAATGAGAATTCGACAAATAATTAAAAAAAAAAAAAAAAAAAGTAAAGTGAACCTTAAAAAATTTAAAAATAATAATAATAATAATAATACTGGGGATATTTGAAATTTTGAAAAATTAATAAAGTTGTTGCTTATGGTTAATTACGTTAATATTTTTAAACATTTTTTTTTTTTTAAAGATTTGTTTTAAGTGGATGAAATAGCAAACAAACAAAAAAAAAAAACTCCCTTTTTTTAAAAAAAATTGCCTTTGATTAATATTAATTACTGCAAATAATGAAAAAAAAAAAAAAAAAAAAAAAACAAACACACGTGATGCAGTTATTCAAAAAAAAAATTTTTAATTTAAATTTAAATTAATTGCGTTTTGTGGCCTATATACCATTATGGGTGACAATTTATTTAAACAAAACAAATTTGAAATTTAAATTGACGTGCGCACTTTTGAATAATAAAAAAAACAATAAATATATAAATAATTTTTTAATTTAATAAGTTTTTTTGTTAAGTATAAAATTTTTGCGAAAAAAAAAATGTTTTTTTTTTTTATTTTTTTTTTTTTGATTAAAATTAAGGCTGTAAAAAATAATTTTGCTACTAATACGTATATAAAAAAAAATTGATTTATTTTTAATTACGTTAATAATTTTTAATATTGATTAAATAGTATATATATATATATATATACACACGTATTAAATTGCGATAATTAATATTTAGAAAGGCTGATTGATGTTAATAATTTTTGCACCCATAAGTAAAAAAAAAAAAATTTTAGAGGATAAGCTTGTGTTATTTAATTATCCAGTAATTTTTAGAGATAAAGAGAGAGAGAGAGAGGGAAAAAAAAGGGATCATTTAAAAAAAGAAAAAGAAAAAAAAAACCAAAAAGACTGCATGAGGCATTTTTATAATTTAAGCTTCAAACAATAAATATGACTAGTTAAAAAAAAAAAAAATTAATTGCCTACAAAAACAAATAATCCCTTTTTTTTTTTTTTGTGTTGAAAAGTAAAAGAAAGGGATTAAGAAGGGATAAAAAGGGATTAAAAGAAAAGTTTGTTGGGATTAAGAGAGAAGAAATTTACTTTTCAATTTTTTTTTTTTTTTTTTTTTTGAAAAATCATTTTAGATGATAGAAAATGAATGAACAAATTTTTAACTTGTAATAATGAAATTAATTTATGATAATTAATTGAGCAATTTAGTTATGGAAACTTAAGAAAATTCATTTTTTTTAAAATGTAGATTTTCCCTCATTAACCCTAATCAGCATATCATTAAATAAAAAAAAAATGCTTAATTAAATACCCAGGCCCCCAACATTATCATCATTATTCAATTTTTTTTTTTTTTAGAATTTTACGCTTTGCTCAAAAAAAAAAAAAAAAAAAAAAAAAAAAAAAAATTGATTTATCTGTGATTATTTAAAACATGACTTTTAAGTTTATTATTTTATATTATTATTATTATTATTATTATTTTTTCAACCATTTTGTTTTTAATAATTTAATTCGCATATCAAATTTATTAGGAATATA